CCCAGTCACCCCAGGACCCTCCTGTCACCCCTGGGGACCCCCAGGACCCTCCAGTCACCCCCGGGACCCCTCAGGACCCTCCTGTCACCCCTCGGGACCCCCCAGGACCCCCAGTCACCCCAGGACCCTCCTGTCACCTCTGGGGACCCCCCAGGACCCCCAGGCACCCCTGGGACCCTCCTGTCACCCCTGGGGACCCCCCAGGACCCCCATGCACCCCTGGGACCCTCCTGTCACCCCTGGGGACCCTCCTGTCACCCCTGGAAACCCCTGAGAGCCCCCCAGTCTCTCTCGGGACCCCCCACCATCCCCCCTGGGGACCCCCCGCTGCACCCCGAGACACGGCTGGGGTCCCCCCAGTCACCTCCGGGACCCCCGAGCCCCTCCCAGTCCCCCTCTGGGGACCCCCCGAGCCCCCCAGGAAGTTCAGACAGATTTGGGGGGGTGACAGCCACGACTGGGGGGCTCCATCTATTGCGGGGGCAGGGGGGGGTCACACCCATGGGCCCCCCCTCGGGCCCCTTTGCATTTCCAGCTGTGGGTCAGGGTGACCCCCTGGATTTTGGGGAACCCCCTGGATTTTGGGCGAGCCCCTGGATTTCTGGGGGGGGTCTCGATTTTGAATCCTCCCCCTCTGGTTACCTGGGACACCCGAACACCCCCAACCCACCCGAACCACTCCACCCCCCCCCAGTTTTGGGACACACCTGGGACACACCTGGGACACCCCAGATGCCCCCAGAGGGTCTCCAATGTGTCCCCAGGGTGTCCTCAGGTGTCCCAAGGATGGGACAAGGAGGGACAGAGGCTGGACCGGCCGTGGCTCCCACAGCCCGGGGGTGGGGGGTGTGTAATTCCATGTTCTGAGCCCTCCGGGAATGCTTGGAATCGAGGGAAAACTCCTCAGCCGAGAATTTATTACTAAAAAAATACATTTATTCGTTTGTAAACACACAAAAAACAGGGGGTGGGGCCACCTTTGGGGCCTGGGGGGGGCACAGCTCCAACTCCAGCTCCCATTCCAGCTCCCACTCCCATTCCAACTCCAGCTCCCATTCCAGCTCCCATTCCAGCTGCAGCTCCCCCAAAGCTCCGGGCTGGTCCCGGGGGGAGGTTTCAGGGCCCTTTCCTCAGGTTCTCCAGGAAGAAGCTCTCGCTCTCCAGGAAATCGTGGTCCTGGGGATGGGAGGAGGGATGGGCTGATCCCCCCAGGATGGTTCCCAACCCCTTCCAGCCCCAATCCTACCTGGATGGGTCTGAGCCCCTTCCAGCTCCCACCCAGATGGTTCCAAACCTTTTCCCAGCCCCTTCCAGCTCCCACCCAGCTGGTTTTGAGCCCCTTTCCCAACCCCTCCTCACACCCCCCAAGTTGGTTCCAATCCCATTTCCCAGCCCTGTTCCCACTCAGCTGGTTCCAAGCCCCTTTCCAAGCCCCTTTCCCATCCTTGTACCCACCCAGCTGGTTCTGAGTCCCTTCCCAATCCCCCCCCCGTTGGTTCCAAGCCTCTTTCCCACCTTGATCCCACCCAGCTCATTCCAAGCCCCTTTCCCACCTTGATCCCACCCAGATCATTCCAAGCCCCTTTCCCACCTTGATCCCACCCAGCTCATTCCAAGCCCCTTTCCCACCTTGATCCCACCCAG